CATTCGCAAACGCGAAATGGGCGGCCCAAACGGCCGCCGATGTGCCACTGGGCACCGCGACGCGCGCCATCATGCCCCTGGAAAATGTTCCTTTGGGGCGCGAACTCGAGCCCAGACGGCGCCGAGGAAAACCTGGCAAGGCTCGGACTCCGCCTTCGGACAGCCCCGATGGATCGATCCCGGTTCGCAAATCATCGAATGAACAATGAATGATGCCGCAGGCTCCGTCGAAAGATAACCCTTGAAGCCCGCCAGGCTCCGCCCAAAAACTTGCCTGCCACGAAACCAGAGACAGGACGGGACGAGGAGGAAAAAAGAGGCAAGGAATCGGAGAACAAAGAAACCGAGGGCGACAGCGTTGGGGGGGGCGGGAGCGGAAAGGAAAAGCAGAAGAACAACGAGGTGAGGAGAAGGGAAAAATGACAACACTAGCGCAACAAATGTCACGCGCATTAATGGAAGCACGACGGCTGGGGCAACGGAGCCAGAAACACGAGGAGCCCACCAAAAAAAGAGAAGGGATACTATAGGCCAGAAGTGATGACAGCAGGGGAGGGCCACGAGCAGAAATGCTCGGAGGCACCCCAGGAACGGAGAGGACGTCACCGACCCCAATCACAAGATAAGAAAGGAGGAGGAGGAGGAGGAGAAGGAGGAGGAGGAGGGAAAAAATGAGGCGGAAGAGGAAGAGAGAGAGGAGGATGAGGAGGAGCGGGCGCACCATACATGCGGCGCACTTCGAGAAACATAAGCAAAGGTCCACCCAAGGAAACGCCAGGCTCCTCCAACGCGCAGAGTAAGCCCAAGAGGGCAACAACAAACTCGCTGCCTTTTGCGGGGGTGCAGTTGAACGCCCCAACATCACGACGCGGCCGAAGCGCGGCCGCAAAGCGCCGACGATGTGGAGCAGGAGCGCGAAGCAAAACCCACCATAACGGCGGGCAATCCTGGCGAATCCGCAGAGCTCGTGTGGTCCTGCATTCGCCGCGTTACGTGCATGCATACATGGGCACAACACAATATTCATATCGCGCGTTCCTGTGTCTCGTTCGTGGCAATCATATTCTAAGAGACCTGTCACCCTTCGAACAATTTCTTTGGCGCGTTGTGCGCAGAACCCGCTGGCCCGCGCACGTCGCAAGAACAACAACAAACGCCGCGCATCTACCCGCACTGGGCGACGCAACGCGGAGGCGGCACGATGCCGGCCCGATGGCTTTGAAGCACGAAAGCGCACCGCAAGATTAGCACAACGTCCAAATTGCACCAATTCTAAGAAGGCCGAAGAGACCTTTGCCCGCCGCGGGTAGCCGAATCTCGGAAGGAGCGCAAACCAAATAAAAAGGTCTAACGTATTTATGCTGTCGGTCAGAGCTGACATGGTGTGCTGCAGGACGTGACCGAGGTGGAACGCGAAAGGACAACATCATAACACGATAACAATACAAGCAAGCCTACATGATATTGCAACGACATCTTCAAACGGCGATGACATAACAAACAACTTGATGGCATGGAACAGTACTGTACTGGTGGGCAGCAAATTATGGAAGAGACCCGAGGCAAGACGACACAGCAGGGCATAATGCAATAGAGCAGACTAGAAAAGTCGCAGAACACTTAACACATTAAAACGTGTTATAAGCTGTTGACACAATCACAAATCGACAGTATTTTGATATAAACTGTAAAAGAAATCAGCTACCGATGAGCGGCATCCTAGCAAGCGAGACATGCGCGCTCAGGCCAAACTGGCCGCAGGACCAAACAGGCGCAACACGCGGGTCGACGTATCCAACGCGACAAGCGTCACAACGTCACGCAGGCACGTTCAGAGCATAACAACTCTTGATAGTGTGTGGAAGCAGAGCACATGTTGAATAAAGAGCAGTGGGCCACTGTAGAACACTCACGAGAGACAGGTTAACGAGACGCCCTAGTACACGCAAACAGCATGCGCGCCGACGTAAGCCTGGCCGCAAGAACAAACAGGCGCAAGCATGGCCAAGCAGACAGCATCAAAAATGGCAGGGGCCACGACGTCTTGCCGCCCCGTCGAGGGCAGAACATAACGAAACAGATGTGAAACACATAACCAAGCAGAACGTAATAGAGCAGAACGCAGCAGCGATCACAAGCTGACCACCGAAACAACCAGTAGCAACAACGACCGAATAGACCACGCATCCAAATTGACAGTCGTCACGACAGTACGCCGCCACGCGCAGAACATAACAATACCAAACGCGATATACTCTGGGGCAGGATCGAATCGAATATAAAAAAACGAATCGTACAGCGAAGCATCGACAAATTGACGGTGTCTCATCCAATGCGACGTGCTCCCCGTCGTCGGGCTGGTCTCAAGAACAAGCAGGCGCAGCAACGACCGATTGGACGACGTATCAAACGAGACCAGCGTCACGACGCCACGGCGGCCCATCCAGGAAAGAAATCAGCTCTATAAGCATAAGAGTGGAACGTTGCAAAAATGGGTTAGAAGAGCGCAATTCGAGTCTGAAAAATGACGGCAACGACCGATTCAGAGCGCCCTATCAAACGTAACATGCGCGCCAACGCAAAGCTGGCCACGGGAACAGACAGGCGAAACAACGACCGAATACAATACATATATACATATATATATATATATATATATATATATATCAAATGTGACAGGCGTCACGACGCCACGCCGCCCCAGCGAGGGCAGAACATAACAAACTATATGTGAATAGGACCGAACATAATAGAACGCGACACAATATGCAGCAGTGGACGAGTTAGGGCGCCTTATCAAACGAGATATGCGCGCCGAGCTCAGGCTAGCCAAAGTTATAGCCAGACCAGGCTCGGTTTCGCTGGGGATCGCTGGAAGTCCCTCCATTAGGAGTGTGATGTCTCCACCTCGCGACCTCCGTTCTTCCCGCCTGCTAGTGCTCAGGTCTCTCATGATCAGATATACTCACATTCAGACTCACTCACACTCATACGTACTCACACTCAGACTAACTGAAACGCATACCCACTCAAACTCAGACCCACGCGCAACCAGATCCACTGATGCTCTGACTCACTTTTTCTCAGACTCGTTCTAGTCAGACTCTCACATACTCAGACTAACTCGTGCACACACCACTCTCACTCACATCCACGAGTACGCAGCCAAGTCATGCTGAAACGCATATACACATCACTCATCTACAGTCAAAGTCCATGCTCATCGCGATGTTCAAGGCGTGGAGGTTGGACTCCCCAAGGAGCCGCCGCGCGTAGCTTCACATCGCCACTCGCGCCCAGAATGTGGGGATGCCTCAAGCAGCTTGCCTGTCTGGTGGCTCAGACTTCTTCTTTATAAAAGCAAATGAGCACTGCGATGTAGCAGGCGTGGCGTTTGAGGACCCCAAGAATGAGCTGCCAATGGGTGTTGCACTTGTCCGCTCGCGCATACATTGTGGGGATACCTCGGATGGTTCGGCTCGCTGGTTTGAGCAACTCCGGCGTCCCTCCGTTAGGAGCCTCATGATCTCCACGATTCAGTAGACATAGCACTGGTGCTCCCCAACTCAGAGCCGCAAGGGGGCGTTACACTTGCAAGTTCGCGCCCACATCGTGGGACCTGGCAAACGAAACGCTGATTTGGACACTCACGACCCCTCTCCTTCCAGAGCCCCAAACGCATCCCGTTTCCCATGCAGGACTCGTCTGTAATCCGGCCTTCCAGAGCCCCAAAAGCATATCGCCACCCACGCAGGACTCATCTGTGATCTAGTTTTATCATCCGAACCCTCTAGCGAAACGCTACTAGGCAACAAGACCTTACGTCTTCAATGCTTCAAAACGTTGGTGAGGGGGAGCGTTCGGCAGGGACCGGCTCAGGGAGGGAAACGGCGACCTGGAATCGGATAAACATCCCTGATAGGTCGGCGATGGGCCCCCGACATCCAGTCCGCACGCTTCTGGGCGTGATGGGCTATCAGGCCCCCATCGGCGATGAGTGGGCGATTGGGGGGTCGATGCGTCCCCCCTAAGCCTATCCCTTGAGGCGGCGCACGCGGCGCAACAAGGAGGACACCCCCCGAGGGTCAAGGTCGTCCGTTTAAGGTCAAGGTTTTGGGCCTCGATTTTCAAGGTTTAAGGTCGGGGTTTTCAAGGTTCAAGGTCACTTGCAAGGTCAATCAAGGTCAGTAGTAGTTGTTCCAAGATGGCTCCAAGACGGCATCAAGATGGCTCCAGGATGGCACCAAGACAGTCCAAGATGCCCTCCAAGATGGCTAAGACGGCCTCAAACGGCCTCCAGCACAACCCTAAGACGCTTCCAAGACGTCCAAGATGCCCCCAAGAGAACCCGAGTTTGCCCAAATATGTTTCGAAGATTGCCGATCGTCGCGATATTGATGATTGAGGCGCGATATTGATTAGGCGCGATATTGATTATATGGGAGCAGCCTTGAGGCGGCCGCAGGGTGAGAGGACGACAATCATTCGATAATTGTTTCAAAATTCAAGTAAGCACGCTTTGACTCCTCACGGTGGCCTGTGCCACCGTGCCCTCGAGGCGCACGCGTGGCTCCCCGGACCGTGGCCCAACTCCCCCTAGACCTGGCGATCTACCACCTAAAGTGAAACTTGAAACTTACACAGCTCCGAGCCTCGAGCCTCGGGGTGGGAATCTCAGAACTAGATGCCAGCCCAGCCCACCTCCCACCTCCTATCTCCTATCCTTACTCCTCCTCCCCATCCTCGTCCTCATCCCTCCCAGTTTCGTCCGCCGAGGGTACGTAGGTACTTGGTACGTTTGATTTCGGTTAACTGTTAACTCCTCCTCCCCCTCATCTCCTTCCTCTTCCCTTTTGCCATCCATACTATCTACTATCGTTCAACTTCCCCTCATCATCATCCTCCTCCATGGCCAGTTTGAATATCAATCCAGCCCCCTCCAGATGGGCATGAGGCATGAGGCATGAATCTGGCGAGGGCTACTAATTTGCCCCGGAGGCTCAATGGTCCAAGATTGGGGCTGCGTCGCTGGTCGCCCACTCCACCAGGTAGTTATTCAGGCCAGTGGACATCTCGATCTTCGACTTCTGAAGTGTGCTCTCCAGCTCCGTCTTAATTTTCTGGCGGTCGTCCTTCTTGGTGGCGGTGGCGCCATTCCCGACAAACAGAACCTGGAGGACCACCGCTGACGCAACTACGAACTTCACGCTGCTGATGTGTTTTTCCGCCGCATCCATCGCCTTCTTGGACTCGGTGGCTGATTCCTCAGACAACTCGGGCATCTTAGTGAAGGCATCCTTGATGTCTCTGAGATTGCCCTCCAACCACTCGCACAACTGCGCCATGCGGATGTGGTTCGGGTTCTTCAGGAGCGAGTCCTTGCAGTACGTCTCGTCAATGCCATCGACGGCCTTGCCCTGCCAATCGCCCTTCGGCATCAGATCCTTCATCGAAACATTCCCGGCGTCCAGCGCAGCCGTCCACCTCCAAGCCAGGGAGCTGGTAAGACCAAGGATCGACGCCGTCGCTTTAGTCTTGGCCTCGCCGTTCAGCAAAGGAGCCTTGTGGTCGTCGCCCTCGAAGAACGCCTTCAACTCGACCGCGCCCAGGTCGGACAATTTCTGTGCCTCCTTGTGGATCTCCACGATGAGGTTGACCAACGACGCGTTCACGATGCTCTTCTCCCCCTCTGCGCTCTGGCTGGAGCCGCTCGAGCCCGTAGCCTTCTGCGGTGGCTTCTTCGGCGCGCTGAATGCTGCTTTATGGCACATGGCCGCGGGGCAAGATTGCACCGCTGTCGAACGGAACGTATCCAAGGCACGGAAGAACGTGACGTGCGCATCACTGTAACGAGCAGCAAGTTGGACTTCTCGAAGCTGGTGCCCATCCGTCCAGACTCGTAGCGCGCTGCGCAGCTCGGTCTCGCGATTCTCGGCGCGCGTATGCTGCGACAGCTTCTGGACGAGTGCCACGACGCCGTCCAAGTTGAAGATGCCTTGCAAGTTGCCGAACTCGAAATCGATAGGACAGAATATCTCCTCGACCTTGAACGTCGCCGCCTCGCCCTTCACCTTTGTGCACAAAGTCTTGAACTCGGGGGCGAAATGAAGAAGGCTGTGCGCAAAGTTGGTCGACGCCTCCTGGAGTACGTTGTTGGCTCTACTCGAAAGCTCCCCCTGGATATCGTCGAGTACGCGCGCCCATTGACCCAGGACGGCGGCTTCTGGGCCAGAGGCGGCCCTCGGCAGATGGAGGCGATCCCGAATCCCGCCACCCAGGTCCAAGTTGTCCCCGGCCTCGTTGCACAATGACGCGCGCTCCTTCGCGAAGGCGATGCACTCGCTGATCTCGATATTGTTGAGAGCAGCCTTGGTGTTGACCTGCCGCAGGGCGCGAGGAAGGAGGAAGAGGAGGACGAGGAGGAGGAGGAGGAGGAGGAGGAGGAGGAGAAGGAGGGATAATAAGAGGATGGGCGATGGGGGCACAGGGGACTAGGATAATCTCCCCGCCACCCCAGGAAGAGGTGGGGGGAGAGGGCGGAGGGTAGAGGGTAGAGGGTAGAGGGGTAGAGGGTAGAGGGTAGAGGGGTAGAGGGTAGAGGGTAGAGGGTAGAGGGGTAGAGGACCAGGACACACATTACACATTACCTCATTACTCATTACCTCATTACTCATTACCTCATTACTCATTACCTCATTACTCATTACTCATTACTCATTACCTCATTACTCATTACCTCATTATTCATAGCTCAGTATTCACTCTTCACTACTCATTACTTCCCTCTCCCCATCTCCCCGCCTCCTCTTCCTCCTCCTCCTCCTCGTCCTCCTCCTCCTTCAGAAGGGGGGCGAGATCTAGAATGCAGGGTGACCTTGAAACCCGCGAAATCCAAGATGCCGATCATGCAGTTCAGTGCCTTGCTCATGCCTGTGATGGGCTCCTTCAGCTTCCCGATCGCCTGCGGCTCCAGAACTGCGAGGACCGCCTTGCACGACTCCTTCAACGCGTTCAAATGCTCCGAGAAGCTGGCTGGAATGATAGCCTCATCTTCGGGTAAATCCTCGTACATGGTGATGAGCTCGCTGATGGGCCCGAGGCTCATGGTCATGAAAGAACAGCCAAAGGCTGGCAGCAACTCATTCGTGATGGCAACCTCGTACCCTGCGATTTCCTCCCCCTTCTCTTGCGTCCAGAAAGTGGCTGGAGCGGTCTGCAGGAAAGAACGATTATCCGCAACCCGTCTGAATTGCTCAGCTGCCGCCGCCACGGAGTCGACGATTGAGATCGGCGCCCACCTCAGCGACGCGAGCTGATGCATGTCATGCGAAGCCTGCGTCCAGCGCCTTTCGAAGACCTCTGTGCTGCGCTTCTGCTGCGACGCCTTGGCCAATGCTGTCAGCACCTTAGTGCCCAGCGGGGAGACCCGGAAGTGGAACAACGCTCCGGATGACGAGGCCTTCGCCGAAGCAATCGTCGCATCCAATTGTTCGGAGCCCTGGCCGTTGGAAGCATCGAGCAAGGTCTTGATGATGCGGATATCGCGGAGGAGGTCAGGCAGCATGAAGCTATCCTCGTGATCAGCGCTGCAGGCGGCCTCGTTCAAGGTCGTCACAAGGCCGCGAATGCTCTCCTCTGCCTCCTTGGAGTCCCTACCCCCAGCGCACTCCTGAACGAGCTTGCCCATCACGGACCTCTGCATCCCCGACAAGATGTCGGGGGCCGTCTGCGAGCCCGTGACGCTCCGAATGTGAGCCAGCGACACGATTTTCACTGCTGCGCCGAAGGACCTCTCTTCAATGGCACGCCAGGCCGACATCTTGAAGTCCAGCTCGTGGAAGGACGAGGGCATGTGATCCAGAAGCTCCCGAATCTGCCTCGCTTGCACCATCTCGGAGATGAAATCACTGATCGCCTGCTTATCCATACTGCCGCGCAACTTCCCCGTGCTCCCGAGCACGGCTTTAACGGCCGCCATTGAGTGGAGGAGACCAAGTATGCGATCGATAACATCCACGAGCACCGTCCAAGCACCCAGGGCGCGCACAGCTGCCTCGTCTACCCGGCCTTCGACGTCAGTCTGAACTTTAGCCAAGGACTTCTGCATCGCCTTCTTCTTATTGGCAAGGGGGCCTGGGTTCCACTGGCCCTTGTAGAACTTGATGCACACCTCCTTCATCTCCTTTTCGCCCTTCTCCCTGGTCGCCACCAAGATGGCCTCAGACTTCGCCTTCTTCTTGGACGAGCCGGATGCCTCTTTCACGTCCTCTTCGGCAGTGCGCTTCAGCTTCTTGGCGCTCTTGCCGAACTGCTTGGCGGGGCGTTCGCTTCCGAAGAATCCGAGAGCGGCTTCTGCGGCCACCTCTTGGGCCATCTCTTCGTCCTCATCCTCGCCCATGGCCTCGTCATCATCCTGGGCTTCGTTGCCCTCCATTTTCACATCGACTTCTCCCGAGTCCTCCGGCTTCGCCATGCGTGCCATCGCCGCTTGGATCACGTCGTTAACCTTATTCGCCGCCATGGTTGAAGATCCCGCAGCGTTGCTGCCCTTCTTCGCGGCCTGATGAAAGTTGGCGGCGATCTGGCCCTCGTCGATCGTGGGGCGTCCGTCGTCGAGTAGGTGTTCCTTCTGTGTCCCCTTGGTGAACTTGGACTCGATTTCGTAGGTGCCCTCCTCGCCGATGAGCTCCATGAAGCCTCTCTTCCAGACTCCTGGCTCGACCTCGTAGTTGCCGACCAGCTTCAGCATGCCCGCATCTTTGAACGACAGCTTCTTAGGATTGCTTTCACGGTTCTTGAAGGCCTCCTCAGTCACGAGCCTCGTCTTCGGCTTGAGGAAAGAAATCTCTGACTTGACGGTCAGCTTGACGATTAGGATCGGCGCTGGCAGGGACGCCATGTCGAGCTCAATGTTCCCATTTCGCTTCTGCGCAATCACCGCCTGCTCGATCTTGAGGAACTCCTCCTGCTTTTCCTCGTTACCGTCCACGTCCTTGCTCAACTCATCCCGCGTCCAAGCTTTGAAGCGGGTTCGGTGGGCCACCGAAGAATAGAAACACACCACCCCCTCCGGCTCGCCGTTGGCCTTGTAGTAAGCCCACTCCCTCTCGTAGCCTGGGTACAAAGGGTCCTCCGAATTGCTCGTGTGCTTGCAGAGCTCGCAACGAACCGCCTCGGTCGTAGACCCCATGAGGCGGAGCTTGAACTTGCGCTTCTTGCCACCCTTCGACAAATGATACACGCGCTGAGCCTGCTTCTCGGACACTGGAAGCGCGAGCATCTCTGACACCGACATTTGCGAGGTCTCGACTGGAGGCCCGCTGCCCAACAGATCCATCAAACTACTCATAGCTGAAGAAACGAAGGAAGAGCGTAAGACGTAAACATATAACAGATCACAGAGTTTGTCTCCGCAGTGCCGTTTCTCGAACCGAAGTGGCTCGTGGCTCTGTTTCCTCTTCCTTCTCTTCCGGGGGGGATCCGATGCTCAGAGCTCAGAGGTTGTAGCTCGACACGCCGATCTAGGCTAGTGGTCTGCGCTGGTGTTTCATTAATGCTGCTAACTGCTAATTGCTAATTGTTTTCGTTAACTCCTAGCTCCTAGCTCCTAGTCTCCTAGTGCTTGTTGCTGTTGCGCGTTTCGTTGATGTGAGATGTGAGATGTGAGTGTGGTTGTTGCTGCTTTCGCTGGCGTCTGATATGTTGATTGTTGATTCTCGCTATTGTCTGAGTTGTGAGTGATGCTGTGATGCTGCTTTCGATGACGTATGACGTATGACGTCCTATTTGCGTTGCTGTTGTTCTCGATGGCGTGCGATATGTGATTGTGCGATTGTATTTTCTGCGTAGCGTTCAAAACTTCAAACTTCAAACCATTGCTGGCAAAAGCACGGCTGACCGGCTGACGTCCCCACGCTATCGCACCTCGCGCCCAGAGTTCGACCCTTGCTTCGAATCCGACTGACAAGGATGAATGCGGCCTAGCTGGCTGCGAAGGTGCACGGATACGAGGGGAGGGAAGGGTGACCAATGACCAGGTGACTGCGAAAATCCACGACCACTCTTCCGAGAGAATCTTGCCAAGAGCAATCTGGGCAGGAGGAGGATCAGGAGGAAGAGAGTGCGGATGAGGAGGAAGAAGAGGACGATGAGGAGGAGGCTGAAGGATGAGGGATGAGGGATGAGGGGATGAGGGTGTTGAGGGAGAAGAGCAAGAGGAGCAGGAGACGGGCCAAGTTAAAGGGTAAAGGGTAACAGGGGAGGAACGGAGGAACGAGGAACCAGGAACCTGTTTCTGGTTTCTGGGGGCCCGTGGGCGAAGCTAATGTAAACTCTGCAACCTGCAACCTGCAACCTCCAACTGATGCTGTATATCATATGTCATATCTGAGATCTGGTTGGCCATTGAGATCACGAGGTCACTGATCACTGATCACTCGCTCACTGTGCAATCACGCCAGCTCTACCGAGTCCTCCTCCCACCCCGAAAGCAAGGCCATGAGAGCATGCGTCGCGCTCGCTGCATTGAACGAATTGCCCGCCAAATCCGCAAGTTCGGAGTCCTCAAACTCCCGCAGCGCTGGGGCATGCTCTAACCAGAGGCCCTGCAGACGCAACGACTCTTCTCCAAAGAGGAAGCGGCCTCGGCGCCGGAGAAACAAACGCTGACCTGGGAGCACACAACAACTAGTCCCATGAGAGAAACGAACACGGGTAACACTCTGGTTGACGTCGATAACCTCCTCTACGTCAGAATCCACTGGCAACGGCCTGGTTTTTGCCCAAAGGTGGATGATCTCAGCCTCGCGGGGAGTTGGTCTGTACCGTGGATTTGCGGCCGTCCAAGACATGCCGCAAGACGAGCGACAGTCCTCTGGGGTAGGAGGCCACTGAACGTTCTTCTTTTTGAACTCCGTCGAATGGTCAAGAAACCACTTGGTGTCCTGCTCCCCTCCTTTGCGGATCTTCAAGGGCGGCCCTTTGTTCAACCAATACTCGCAATCCTGATCTGACAATAAGAACTTCTCGAGAGGGATTGTTGGAGGGCTTGTAAAGGACGTGTAGAAATCGTCGAAACTCTTGATGAAAACCTCAGGCTCGATCTTTACTGCATCCTTCCGGAAAGCAATGATGTAGACGCGTCGTCGAGATTGCGGCATGCCAGCGTCCATCGCGTTCAAGGTCTGGAACTGAAGGGCATATCCAAAGGAAGTGAAGATGCCCTTGATGAAGTCTTTGTTCTTCAAGGTGGCATTCGTCACATCATCAACGAAGCGCTCCTCATCCCCGTCACCTTCAGTGCGCAAGACCCCCGTCACGTTCTCCATTAAGACGCACCGGGGCTTGTGCACATCGATGTAGTTGAATAGTCCAGTCAATGTTTCTGCACTCGACCCGATACCTGAAGCCAGAGCCGATGCGATGTCTTTGGATGCAGTCTTGGCGGTAGAACGCGATTTCGCAACTGATATATCTTTGCGCGAGAAGCCGCAGATGAAAATGTCAAGCTCCTGAATTGTCTCCTCCTGATCAGTCATCATGTTGTATGCGCTTGCATACCCAAGCTGGGCAATATCATTGTACAATCCAGGGGGGTTGAAATTCCTCTTTATGAATGTTTGCTTGAACGGGTCAACCTCGCAGCTCCAGACGTGCTCGAAGCCGAACTCCTCTGGGAGGTCGAACAGCGACCGTAAAACGGAGACCAGCTGAAAGGCACATGCGACGACGATGTCGGAACCACTGCATGCCATCCCGATGCGGAGCTTCCTGCGGCATCTCCTCACCGACGCCAACAGCTTCTCGCGGGCCCAATCGCCCGTGTTAGTGATCAGATTTGTAATGGCCTGCTGGGTTGCGTTTTCATGGTTCCCGTCCCCACCCTCGTCCTTTGGGCAATCGAGCTGGGTTGAGCGCCCGTGCGGCTGTGTGAGCATGGAGTCGGAGGGAAGGCTCTCCAGCCATTGCCCTGATGCTAAGCCCAGAAGGGTGGACATATGGACATACGACAATAGACAGTAATACAATAATATCTAATATCGACGAGTTTCGACTGCGTGCACAAGAGATCTTGAGCCTCAAACGTCAAGCCACGACGTGCTCGTGCAAGCATGTTTCGGGACGTACTGCAAACTGCATACCATCATAGCCAAGCAGTGTGGTGGAGAACAACTTGCAACCTAATTTCCAATCTCCAATCTGTGTGAACCTCAGGAGCTCAGGAGCTCAGAAGGTGAGTCACTCGTCCTCCGTCCCCTCCTCCTCCTCCTCCTCCTTATCCTTCTCTTAATCCTTGGACGTCCTTGGCCTCCGCTGAACCCTCGACCCGAGACGTGCCCCACCGATGCTAAATGCTAACATGCTAAATGCTAACTGTTGTCTGCTGTCCTTTCTGCTCGATCCTCCTCCTCCTCCTCCTCCTACTCCTACTCCTACTCCTCCTCCTACCCCTTCTCCTACTCCTCCTCCCCTCCTCCTCCTCCTCCTCCTCCTCCTCCTCCTTCTTCCAGCAGTCGTTTCACGTTTCACCTTTTTTACTTTTTCATTGCTTCACTTGTCCAATCCCCAATGCCCAATGCCTCACACAGTCGAGCACGCATACATAAAAGCGTAATGCTTGCGCATTATGGTGAAACCGCGGGCATCGTCCGCTTTTTTCTGCAGCACGGCGCAGAAATCCCGCGCCGCGAGGCGCGCGGCACGTATGGCGTCCACCTCCAACGACTTTGTTTCCTCGTCCGGCCAACATCCTAAGATCACCAGCCGCTTGTAAGCGAGGCGATGGCCCGGCATGATCTCTGGTCTTGCGGCCGGAGCGGCTCGGCGAACTTCGGACCTCCAGCAAGCCCCACCCTCCCAGCGCCACATCGGGCAGCTCGTGCTGCCGACGTAGCTCTCACCTCCAAGTCGATGGAAACGGCGCACCGCATCCCTGACTCGGTACTCGAGCTCGGCGCGCGGCAAACCCACGAGCGGCACGTTGGGCATGCCGTTGCCCCACAGAGTGATCTCCGTGTGCTTCTGGGCCGCCCTGGCCATCACCTCCACGGCGTCGCCCCGCGCCACCTGCCACTCCAAGGCGTCCTTGTCCTTCCGCGACAACCGCGGCGCCCAGCGGACGTGGGACGACCAACCAGCATCGTTCCGCAAGGGTGGGCACGCAAGAGCCGGCGATCGCACGGCCACTGCTGCCAGCGGCGACGGCGCCAACGGCGACGGCGGCCGCGTCGCCGGCGCGCTGCGCCGCGAACTCCTGCTCCTGCCCCTCCCCCTCGCAGTCGCAACAGCAGAGTGAGCCGCCGCGGCCTCGGCCCCAGCCGCCGCCACATGCCTCGGTCGCGGCGTCGCTTTGGCCATGGCTGCTATGGCCGAACCAGTCGCACAGGATGAGCGTGATAAGAGTGATAAGCCCGTCGCTCTGGTCGCACTCGATGCACTGGATGAGTCTGACGAGCCCGTCGCCATGGGCGCACTCGCTGCGCTGGATGAGCCTGGTGAGCCAGTCGCTATGGTCGCACTCTCTTCACAAGATGAGCTCGATGAGTCTATCGCTATGGTCGCGCCAGCTGCACAAAATGAGTCTGATGAGCCCGTCGCTCTGGTCGTATCCGCTGAACGCACTGGCCCTGGCTCAAAGCCACGGCCGCGACGAGGCGGCGTCGCCGTCGCACTGGCACTGGCACTGGCACTGGCCGAAAGCCACGGCTGAGGCGACCCGGCGTCGTCGCTGAACAGGAGTTCGTCGAGCGTCAGCCTTGCCAAGCACGGCCGCGACGATCTGTCGTCGTCGATCTCGCGCAGGATGTCCATCAAGTATACATAGCGCATAGCCGGATAGAGCATAACGCATAGCCCATAGCCCCATAGCGCATAGCGCATAGCCTAGCGCCTAGCGCATCGTTGAAAACCCAATCCTGCAATCCCCTTTAATTTGAGCCGAAATGGCTACGGAAACAAAAGGGTTCAGGGTTCAGGGTTCAGGTTTCAGGTTTCAGCGATTCAGTGTCAGTTTCAGGGCACACAAGGCACTGAGTCATCAACAATACACAATACACTATACAACTATACACTATACACTATACGCTATACACTATACACTCTTCTCTAACATATGATGGGATGACTGTTGATGCTGTAATGCTGCAGCTCTGGTGCTTGATGCTTGTTGGCCCCGCTCTATACCAGCTTCGTTGCCTGTCATGTGCCATTGTTTTGGGGGGTGCTTTTATTGTGACTGTTGCCGTTGCTTTTATTCTCAACCATCCGAAAGTGTCAGGCTAAAGGTGGTCGCTTTGT